AAGGCCTGCGAATGAGCCGGGACTTGGACCTAGCCCAGAGCAATGGCCACCTCCCGAAGGAGCTTCGGGGCAAGTCTACGTGGAAGTCATCAGCAAAGGAAGCTCCTTCGTGAAGGGCAGAAAGTGGAGGGATAGGGTGGAGCGGTGTTGGACCTTGGAGAAATAGCAGAAAGAAACAAGTCAAATTGCACGTAAAAACCAGCTGCAAAAGCTGCTTCAGCTGCATTGCTGCCAGGAGAACAAAGCTGCGCGGTGAGATGGGTCAAGGCTGCCAGTAAACGGGGATGGAAGAACTGCGTGAACCCCTGAGCTGCAGGATGTTGAACGGGGGCATCGGGGGCAAAACAGCTAGTGGGAAGAGGGACTGGCAATACCCCCCCCCCCCCGAGCCCCGGGAGTCTGGCAGGCTGAGGTCCAGGAGAACGGGCCGTCTCCATCCCACAGCTCTGCTTCTGCTTCTGGACCCGGCGCAGGGATTGCTGCCGTTGCAATTCAGTCCTCCACATGCAGCTGCTCGACTCGAATCAACAGAGCCAGACTCGGACCTTGCTCCGACCTGCTCCAGTACCAACCCCGGGACACGGACACCCGAATGCCTCTGGCCATCGCCTACAGCCCCTGGCTTGGACACCTTCGACATGTCGTGCGTGGAGGAGGATGACTGTCTCACAGTCCTGTCCTTACAGACAGCCCCTCGCCCTCGAACAGCGTCTCAAGCAACAGCCTGCCTGCCCACCCATCTCACCGAGGCGCCAGGCCTTGCAAAGGACCCGGATGCCCTGTGCCCCAGCATCCGCGCAGACCACATCCCTTGTGCCTTGGTGGCCAAATCTCCCTCCCCGTATGCACTGCTCCCTGCACATACTTTCACGGCACCCGAGGAAGTGAGCTCTAGCCTGCAAAAGCTTTAGTTAGTCTATAAAGTGCAAATCTACCCTGCCTCCCTTGTGTATCGTAGAGCTGGGGGGCTGGCAGGGAGCTCCAGACATCGCATCTAGTCCAGGATCAGCCCCGTCCAGCCCAGGCAAACCCATCGTCCGGCCTCTTGGTAGAGCTACCGTCAACCCGACTCAACGTAAGACCTGAACCTGCCCCAGCGAAAGCCACCAGCCAATGTCCTGCTGCTGTAAAAGTTGCAAATATACGCTCCAGAGAGCCCAGGCCAGGCCGTGCCCCCGCCGCAGGGGAAGGCAAAACCCCCCCATTCTGCACCAGTCTGAGCAGAGGGCAGGGGCGGGGGCAATGCCCGGGGCTGTGCCAGGGCGACGGTGTCATGTGGTTCCGGGGTCGGACACGGGGTTTGTGGGGGCTGGTTTGGACGGGGCTGAGTTGGGCTGGATGTGAGCCCCACGGCTCTGGGACTCAGTCTGAAGGACAGGGCCGGCAGCAGAGCTGGCAGGGGTCAGCAGGCCACAAACCCATCTGGGCAGGGCATCGGCGGCAGGCTCTGGAGGAGGGACCAGGGGAAAGCCTCACTGCTTTCAGCAAGGTGCAGCACCCGGGGCGGCTACGTGGCATCCGGGGCAGTGCCAGCTTCTGCTGTGTCCACTGCAGGGATAAGTGCACCAGAGAGAGACAAAGATGCCACCCATCTCCATTCAGCGACTGGCTGTTCAGGTGCAACGGGACCAGCTCACACGAGGGGTGGCACGGCGGGGGCCTGCGATAGCAGGGCGCTGGGCTCTGGGGCCAGGAGACCCCTCCCAAGCCGGTGTCCCTATGGCCTGGGTAGCGCCTCTCCATGAAGCGGACGGGGCTTTCCTGAGGTTGTGGAATTAACTTCCCCACCGTTTCTCTGAGCACATCTCTGCCTTGTCCTCATGGATGAGGGCAGGGAGCATCAAACGCCCAGTCTAGAACCGCCCCTTCAGGCAGCCGCTATTAGCCAGAGCACTTAATGAGCCCAGGGAAGATGCTCTGATTTTGAAAGGATGAAGCAGGAAGAGACCCTGCATTGAACACCTCCATTAAGAGGTGCAAAGTGGAGTGCTTGCAGTCTGCACCCCTCTGCCCTAGTGTGGTTTCCAGACACAAAGGTTCAGTTTTCAGTGACCCCCAACCCCTTCTTTGTCTCTCTCTGGTGCACGGGCATTTATCCATTATTTCGTGCCCTCCTCCACGCTGAGTATGCAGGCCCGTGCCCACCTAATCAGCACTGTGCACGGAGTTGGATGCTGTTCATCATCTTGGATATCCGGAGGGCGCTTTCACCATGACACCTGGATGCGTCACGATTGCTAATTCGATAGAGCCACCGCCGGTTGCACTGGGCAAGCCGCTGCCTTGCTTTGCAACGTGTAGCTTCACGGCACAAGGTCTCCACCTTTTTGAGACTCACTCGTTAGACGCACGGGGTCCCTTGGAAAAGGGCCAGCTCTTAGTTTTCAGCTGTTTTTTTTGGCTGCATAAAATTGCTAGAGCAAATCTCCTGTTGCAGACAACTCGGGCTGACCACAGCAGGGCCGGAGGTTTCAACACTCCTGGTTTCTATTTAACATCTCTGGGGTTAGCTCGGGAATCGCGTCTGTGCCCCTAACGGCGCTGACACCACGTGGCCCCATGCTGCACCCTTGAAAGGCTCTCCAGGCATCCCAGGGTGCTGCAGCCGGGTTGAGAATCTATTTTACAACCTCAACGCACGGCTTTTTAAATGCATGGCTTTTTAAATGTAACTCCCTAAATGTTTCAAGAGCTTAAATATTGCACAAAACCCCAGAAACCATCACGCAGAACAGCGCCGAGCTGGGCCAGCTGCGGGGCTGAGGTCTGGTGCAGTAAAGGCTTTGCTGCGCCAGAAACGCGGTGCAGCGCCGGTCAAGCCGGCTCCGCAATTGAATATATTGCTGAGGTCAGAAACCAGCTGGGCCCAGCTTGAGCATCCCCACGGCAGCAGCTTGCACTTCCAAACCAACGTTTCCCACGCTGCAAAGATCGACATCCACCTCCTCCCTCTGGGCACCGACGCAGGCCGGTTTTTGCTTTCCCTGGGCCAGGAGCACAATAAGATGACGAATGAAATCCAGTGAGGCGTGTTTTCCACCTAACTGCAGCCGCAAGAGCAAGGAGCCAAATGCCGCACATGCGGAGAATCAGCTGGGGCTGCACGGTCCCGTCGCTGCCTGAGCTGGCTGGAAAGAGCTGGGCGCCACGAGGGAGATGCTAGGGACGATGCCTAGAGGACCGCATGGAGAGATGGATAGCTACCCCAAGTGGCTTAGGCTCGAGGGGGAGGCCTGTAGGGTCAGGGGGACTGCATAGGTGCTTTGGGGTCCGGCTGCCCTTTGCATAGGGGATTTGTGCATGCAGCTGCAGCCCCTGGTCTTGGCTCAGGACTCGCGCTGGAGACGAGGTTTGTGCCTCCCTGGGACAAAGGATAACCTCCATCCCTGCTCTCCCGGATGGTACGGACATCCTCAGCCAAGACCCCCTGCCCTCCACAGCCTCCTTGGGGTGCAGGTGGGAGCCCCCTCCATGCTTCTTGACCACCCGAGGACCCTGCGGTCTCCCACCCTCCCCTGAACGGTCCGGCCACGTGAGGAGCCCTCCCCGGTGTGCTCCGCTGGGTGCCCCCTGCCCCCCGAGGCCGCGCTCGCCGGACGTGCGGCTGGCTGGTGCCGCCTGGTTACACAAGGCACAAGTTCAGGCTTCTCTCCCCAGCAACCATCCCCGGCCCCGTCCTGCCCAGGCTCTTCCCCCCACTCTGCCAGGGGCCCGTGGGCTCAAACATTAACTGCGACCCCCCAGAGGCCACTTCGGCATCCGGAAAGTTTGGTCAAGGGCCGGTTAACTGGTGACTCATTGCTGCTCCGGCCGGCACAGGCTGCGACCAGCCCCAGCCCTTGCATAAGTCGTCCCCCCCCTATAAACCCCCGGAGGCATCTGTCCCTGCCCCAGAGGTGCCCGTCTCCCATCCTCACGCGCACCGTCTCCCTCCCGGGGCTGCAGGGAAGGAGTCGGGATGGAGGTCGTTCGCATGGTGAGTATGGACCAGCAGGACGGATGGGGCCGAGGGAGAGGAATTGCTCCCGAGTCGCTGCGCCCTGCCTGTCCACGTCGCCCCAAGCCCCGGCGGGGAGCGCACCTCGCAATGAGCTCCTGCGGGCTTGCGCCTGCCTAGCTCCCGGTGTCCCAGGAGCTGCCACGGACCGGGTCAGGCCTAGGACCATCGTGCCAGTCTCCTGTGTCATGTGGAGGCTGCAAGGGAGAGTGACCAGGGTTTTCCCCCGTTGCATTTAGGGTCCAGGCAGCTGTGCTTCAGCGGCCGTGCCCCTCGCTGCCGCGCGCAGCAGCTCCCGATGCCCCCTTCCACACCTCCAAGGCTTTGGAAAGGGTGTGCAGGAGGTGCGGGGCATCGTCCCATAATAGGATGCACACTGTTTTCCAGTGAAAAAGAAACGAGAGGCTGCCCTGATATGCTCGGGGCCTCGGGCCGGGGGAAGCTGTTTGCAAACAAATCTGGGTTTGGCGGGGCACTGACTGCAGCTGCAGGGCAGGGCAGAAACCTGGGGCTGGTACCCCCAGCCTGGCCACAGACAGAGCTGCTCCCTGCACCCCCAGACATGCCCCCATGGCCCCGAAGTGCCCCTCGCCGCCCTCTGTGCATTGCCCCTGCCCCTCAGGCACCCCCAGCTCTGCTCTGTCCCCTGCACCCCACATCTCCCCCATGCTCAGCCAGCTCCGTGCACCTGTGCTCCCCCCCACCCCAACCCCCATCTCTGATTTGTCCTGGGTTGAAATGCCCAAAGGACAAAGCTGCCCAGTGCAGGGTCCTAGGTAGCAATGCAGCTGTACTGGGTGGGCTGCGGGGCTGAGCAGAGGCAGACATAACTGCCAGGATAAAGGAAGAAGAAAGGAGATCACGGCCTGTTAACACCTGCGGGGTGACGAGATTAGCAGGAATGAAGGTGACAAAAGAGGAGACCTGGAAGCCACCGGCTGCCTTGGCCCCTACCAGGCAACTGGTTTCAAACTTTGGAGCAGGAATCAAAGGGGGGTGTGATTGCGACCAACCTCCCCCATTTCCCCCCATGGATGGTACTGACCCCATCCCACTGCCCTCCCCGCAGCGCCTGATCCCTGGCCCCATCAGCCCTCAGCTGGGCAGCCCCCCATGCCCTCTCCTACTGGCACAGACCCTGCCTGCCCGACAGGATCCTGTGTATTCGGGAGCTGCATCATCTGTGCCCACATATCGGGAGGCATGAAGGGCCATGCCCAGGCCACGGCCAGGCTTGAGCTGTGTTGGAGTGTGCAAGGGGCCGGGCGAAGTGTCCTCACACCCGCCTCGCCCGCAGCCTGGCATCTGGCCCTACAGAAAAGAGCCGGCAGGATGGACCCATGGACACTCAGGATGACAGGGCTCAGCCATGAGCACTTTGGGGCTCGTATAATTTGGGGCTGGGGTCCACGCTTCCTGCCGCCACGTTGCACGAAGTAGGTCCCTGCTGTGCGCGGACTTCCCGTATGCCCTTTTTGTGGGGTGAAGTGCTGGGTGGAGCTGGAAATCCCTCCTGCCCTTCTCTTCCCTTTGCCAGGGTTTATTTCTTGCCCCCATCTAGCTGGCGTATTCTCACTGGCATCCTTAACGCTAAAGGAAGACCTGTAGGTCCGGGGCCTTTCCTCCTCCCTAAAGGAACGCACGCATTTTTAGGTGGCCAGCGCTGTTTTAAATAAAGCAGATCCAATGAGCCCGTGAATCCGTCTGCAGCGACACGTGTACGGTCCGCGGGGAGGAAACAGAGGGATAAAGGGGAAAGGTCTGGATGTACCCATGCACTTTCCTTTTCGGTGCAGCCCGCAAAGTGGCAAATGAATTAAATACTTGCTCAGGGGCTGCAATGGATTAGCAGCAGGGAGCGTGCTGCAGGGCAGGAAGAAGTGAGGCTAGGACAAGAGGCAGAGCAGAAAGAAAAGCCCTCACCTGCCTGGAGGTGAATCTATCCCAGACCTCCTTGGGACGGAGGCTGGTGCACTAGCTGCTGGACCAGAGGCTGGCGGTGGTTTTCAACCTTTTATTTATTTGCAGACCCTTCGAAAATTTCGAATGGAGGTGCGAACGCCTCTGGATTGCAAGCGTGGGTATTCACGTGCTTCTGACTGATCACAGTTATCTCCCATGGAGCCCTTAGGCATGGTCTGCGGACCCCCGCGGGGTGAAAACCCCTGGCCTAGGGAACGGGGGGTTGCAGTCTGATCCAAGAGGGGCCGACAGGGAAAAGTCCCGGCCAGTCGCATGCAGCACTGGTGCTGCAAGAGAGCCCGTCATCTAGTCCAGCCCCCGGGAATCGCAGAATCTATCATAAAATCACAGAAGGGACCTCGGGAGGTTACATCTAGGCCTGTGAGAGCTGAACCCGGTGGCCAGGTCCAACCCATCTCGTCCTGAGGCCACAGAGCTTCGTTCTCCATTACAAGGGCATGACGTTTAGAGAAGGCCGAGGGGGATTGAATAGCGGCCCTAGGTCCCTGCAGGGGGGCTGCAAAGAGGACGGAGCTGGGCTGTTCTCAGCAGGGGCAGATGGCAGGACAAGGAGCAATGGGCTCAGGCTGCAGCAAGGGAAGTTGAGGTTGGATATTAGGAAGAATTTTCTCATGAGGAAGGTGGTGAAGCACTGGGACAGGTTACCTAGAGAGGTGGTGGGGTCCCCATCTTTGGAAGTTTTAAAGACCTGGCGTGCAGGTTTGGACCGTGTCTGTGATGCAGAAGCATCTGTAACACCTTCCTTACAGCGCCGGTGTGCAAACAACTGCTATGCTTCCTGCCACCATGCTGAGCCCTTCTTAACCAACCCTCTGAGTTTCTCAAGCTCTTTATCTAGCTTTGCAGCCAGCGGCTGTCAGACCTCTTTGCACAGGCAGGGCCTTGCTCCGGCGGCTGGTTTGCGCTGCTAACTTTGATCGGATTACCTTCCCGGGTCCAAGGAATCTCTGTCCCATCCTGGCTTTGCCGGGCAGCCCTGCCGGGGGTGGCCGTGTCCTTCCTGTGACCACCGGCAAATTCTCCCTGTTGTCGAGGGTTAATGCTGCTGCTCTGTCCAGCCCCCACGTTTTGGGGTGGCCCGTCAGGCTCTGAGGGCAAAGGGATATTTGCACCTTACAGGCTACAAGCAGACAATGCGTTTATCCCGGCGTGCATCATGCTATCCCAGGACAAAGTGCAGTCATTCAGACGCCCGTGTTTGCTGTCCTGGGATAAAGCCTAGAAAGGTTCCCAGGATAAGAAGCACTGCCGGTTTATCCCGGGATGCCGCAGCGCACCTGGGATTGCATCCTGGAATCAAAGGCAGAACTTCACTAAACCCCGATCGCAAGGGCGACGTGTGTACGTGCCCATCCTGGGGTACGTCTGATCCGGGTCAAACTCTGTCCAGGGACAAAGGCAGCGTCTGTTCCTAGCTGTGGACCAACCACCTCCGAGGCGTGTGAGCTCTCGTCACCAGGGAGCAGAGCTACACGGGAGGCAGTCGCATGAGCCCTGATAGCGCCCACAACGCAAACTCCTTGGTTTCTTGGGATCTGCCATCTTGCTCCCTGCCCCGAGCTACAGCTTCAGCAAAGAAACAGGTCGTAAGAACAGCAGAGCTGCCCTGGACCGGGTCAGACCCGAGTCCGTCGTGCCCGGTCTCACAGTGGAGGCTGGAAGGGAGAGCAGCTGGGTCTGTACCGAAGGTCCAGGCAGGTCTGATGCAGAGGCCGTGCCCCTCGCTCCCACGTTCAGTAGTCCAACGAAGCGGATCTGCCCAGGGGCACGTCGTGCCAAGCAGGTACCCCCCGACTTCCCCCGCTTGCGGCGGTGCAGGCATCTCTGCAAGCAGGGAAAGCGAGGCAGGCGCTCCCGGGGGCCCAATCCTGCAGGGTGCACAGGATGGGGCCCCTCACGTCCCTGGAGCACCTGCCTGGGGCAGCTCCGGGCTGCCCGTGTTCTCATGCCATAAAGGGGACAGAGGTCCACTGCCCCGAATGACCCGTGCAGATGCTGGGACACCTGGGAGTGGGGCAAGGTCAGGGCCAGCGTCCCAAACACGCTCGCACGCAGACGGATGCGTGGCTGGCCATGCCGTCAGCTGAACCCATGCTGGTGGGGTGGAGGGGCTAGGAGGCCGCGTGTCTGTCCTCCCCTCACGGCTCCTCTCCCCCCAGGATGCAGACCCCTCGCAGACATACCGTCCAGAGGCAGGGGCGGCGCCGGGCAAGCTGAAGGCAGACTTCAGGAACTACATGGTGAGCTCCTCCCTCCTCCCTTGGGCACTGGGACAGGACCGGAGGCTGCTGCTGGCAAAGGCCGGCACTGCCACGCTTGCACCAGCCAATGCTCCCGACCTGCCCTGCGCGTGCTCCCTGCTCCTGGCTGAGGCTGGGTGCCGTTGCAGGAGGGCATGCTCCTGGACCGCGTGTACAACACTTACCTGCTCATGCACACGCACCAGACTGTTGACTTCGTCCGCAGGAAGGTACATTCCCCTCCCCGTCGCATGGCCACCCCCTCCCCAGAGCCCGGGCAACCCTCCCTGGGAATGACCTGCCTCGGATAGGCCCTGATCCCAGGGTGGGGGCTGAGGTGACCCCCCAGTCCTGGTGCTTGAGTCAGGGGGCTCACAGCCAGGCCGTCCCCAGCACGCAGAGTACAGGGCCTGCTCCCATCGCCGCCTGAGCATCATGGAGGCCCTGGACCTGCTGGACGACTTGGTGGACGAGTCGGACCCGGATGTGGACTTCCCCAACTCCTACCATGCCTACC